TAGTGGAGCCCACTCCTTAAAGGTGTACCATCAAGTGGACTCCATGGATTCCCAATTATGTTAAATATTTTAATTTTATCTTTATTCCAAAATGGAGGGCTATGTGGTATGATTTTTTAACATTTAAGGTCTTTGATGTATCCATATTATTAGTACTAAAACAATCAAGTTAATAATAAATTTTTATTGATATAGTTAGGGGTATCAAAAATTTTATCAAACCCACCAACCTGAAAAAATCGGACTTGAGTTGACCAATTTAATAAACAAGTCAGATTCATATCATACCCCCGTTTATTAAATAGGACAGGTTCAGGTTACCTCACCAACCTAAGTTTGAACCATTGAATATTTTTTTCTTAATTTTTTTATGTATTGATATAATCTTCTTATTTTTTTATCGATTAGCTTAAATTTTATGATAAATAAGCTAATAAAAAAATATTTTTTAATTAAATCTGGTTATAGGGTTGGGTTTGGATTGATCACATTCGAGTTAGACTCGAATCAGACCCGTTTTGACACTTATAGATATAGCCATGATGCAACATAAATTACTTGCTAAATCTAATATTTGATTAATGATTTTTTTTCATGTTATCATTCTTTAATTATAGAGCTTTGGCTTATGGTAGTTGGTTGATTAAATTACACTTCTTGTAGTGAAATATGTGAGAGAATTGAATGATTTCATGACAATATTTTATTTGGACTTTTAGAAGTTCTTTGATGGATTTCTTATGCATACCTTTATTGTTTCATAATATTTATTTTAAATCTTCTATCATTTGGGGCTAAGACTTTATTTAGGCCATTTTTTTACTACTTCTTAAAATAAATTTTTAGTACAAAAAATTAAAATTTTGTATTAGAAAGCTATTTTAATAATCATGAAGAAAGCAGTCCCAAATAAAGCCTGAACCCTTCTCCAATTTAAAGCACTTTTTAAAATTCAAAATAAGTGGTGCTTGTTAATCTTCTTTGCCACAATCATCATTTCCAATTCAAGAAGACATTAAAAAAAGATAAGATGAAAAGAGGTTGTCTAAATTCAAATTTGTGTGCTATATATTTAGTAGTGAAGCCTTCTAAAATCATTTTTGTGAGTTATGTGGAGCTCTCTGCTGTACAATTTTGTATAGTCAATTTTCAAGCCAAATTATTTTTGAAAATAATTGAAATCATAAACTTGAATTATATGGATTTAGAGTAAAAAGAGATTTCTTATTGGCTCACATTAGAGTTCTAATATTCCTCAAATAAAATGTATTTTCATTTTTTTAGATATCTAATTTTGAGATGTTTTGATGATAAATTTAATTACTTAATGTTATTAAATAAAATAAAATGTAATTTTATAATGCAAGTTTTCAAATAGCGCTATCATTAAATCAGGAGTGTAAGCCACTTATCTTAATATCTCAAATCCTTTTTTTATGGAGCTTTTTTTCCCTCCATTGATCATCAATGCTTTTAGTGTTGAAGACAAGATTGGTGTATGGGAGGTAATGAAAGGTTGTGATGATTATATAAGGAGAGGTTAAGACTAATGATGTTTACATTTATTTTAAAGACCAACCACATATATTGACAAAAAATATCAAGAACTAATTGGGTTTAATCTAAGTAGTACATTTAGTTTATAAACAAGAGACATATAAATTTGAACATATGACATCTGAATTTTTGCTAATTTCATATCAAAAGTGGGGCTAAATTGTGGCTAAAAGGACTTCTTTTGTTGCTCTTCCTCTTCTTTGTGATTTGAATGATAGTTTGATTAATTTTGAATGTGATGTGATGGTTTGATGAACATAGTTGCTTTTAATGAGAAGTAAGATCATTGAATGGAATTGAATTGAA